CATGCTGTTTATAATTCTGACTAAAGACGATAGATTTGACGTATGTGAGTTTCAGTTCAGACATATGACATGATGGAAGAATGCTCAGTCCGTTTTCACTCGAACAGAGGCAAGATGTCTCGTGGACAGCATCAACCTGAATGTTATTTCAGAGCCAGACGGCTGCTGAATAACGGGAATCAACTTTTATCCTTCGGTAAGCTCGATCTACAAATCTCTTCATCGTAAATGCTCTTATGAAATGAAAGTCTCTTTAAAAATATATTACCTCAAGAGGCTTATTGAAACTCAACTACTCTAGATACATAAAATGTGAGGTTAACCCAATAACTATTGTGGAAGACTGCGAATGAATCTGCCCCTAGATTACCCCGAACCAAGCCTTCTAACCGGCTGTGTCGATGCAAGTTATGTAGTCACTCTAGGCCACATAATAGTGGAAAAAAAAGACTAACACACCTCACTTTACTTATGCGGCCCAGGGTGGCTTCAAATCTGTTTAATGCATATTTGTATCTTATAGCGTCAAGAATGCAGATTTTACTGATGAGTTATTTGTTCTCTTGTCTCATCTCTTTCCAACATCCACTCATGACATTCTCGTTGGTGCAGGAGCCTCCAAGTCGGCGGGAGATATGGAAACATCAGAGCTTGATGAGTCGTTTGGGGCCCAACTGGTAGGCCGACTGAAGACAGTTGCCATTCCTCGAGTCGATCATGATGGGCTCGATGATTCAGAGCCATATCTGACCCATCTGAGGGTGTGGAGTTCATCATCAGCACTAGCACCATTGCCGGTCGACAGTGATCTCTCGGTAAAATCGAGACCCGTCTTTATGCCGAGATCAGGAGAGGAAAATGAACAGTGGAACAATGAAAAAGTTAAGAGTGCAGTGAGTAAACTGGAGAAAAAAGAAGATTTTTCCAATTTTGAGCAGGCTCCCAGCTACCAAGTCAAGGGGACATCACTCACCTCGATGGACGTCGCATCAGCAGCTCTCCAAGCATCAACAGTGAACCGCGGTGGCTTTGATCTGCGGAAGGGAGATGACCTTCTCGGCTATCAGACCTCGCAAACAGAGCGGCCACATCCGCAGAGAGATGGGATGATTTGTAGGGAAGATGACACCAAAATAATCGGTCTTACGCCCGGCTCGCTGATCGATGTGGAGACGCTGAGATCAAAGCAACACTCGCTCGAGACCAGCCCTTCAGAGCGTTTCGGAGGACAAAATGTGCTTCCTACGAAGTGGCGGAGGACTCAGTTGCACCAGCCCGACTCTCAACTCGATCCAAGCATCGTCCATTCTGGGCAAGCCGATCTCTCCCAGTCTGGCCCAGTAGTGAGTGGAGATTTCGATTATCCTCCCGCTTCCCTGATGTCCGGCCAAAGTCAAGAGCCCCATTCGACTGTCTTTCGGGTGGACAGACTAAAACCGCAGCGGCAACACATTTTCTCCTCTTCCTCCTTAGCCGCCCTCCAGTCATCTCCTTCGCCTACATCTGCCTCTTCTTCTTCCTCCTCATCTTCCTCCATCTCGTATCTTGCTTCCACTTTTCCCTCTTCTAAGCCCTGTCCATACTTTTGGACCAACCGCCATTTGGAAGATTCCTCTTTTCCTGTCAACGAATTGTTCCAAAGTACTTTGAACTATCCCGAGTCCAATCAACCACCATCACATCTGCTGCAGCCTCAATCGACTCCAGCAGCAGCAGTGGCAACGGTGTCACAGCCGGGGTCGTCGGCTCGGCATCATTCCGGAGAGATGAGGATGGCCGGCAATCTGCAGTCGGTGAAGTTGTTGAAACGAGATCAACTCGCGGAGGAGACTGGTTGCCCAGGCCTGGTGATGACTGGCAGGAGTCCTAGGGTACCCTTTTCACGACATCAGGTGGCACTGCTGGAAAGCAAGTTTCAAGCTACGCATTATCTCAGCAGCTTTGAAGTTGTACAACTGGCACGACAACTGGATCTCACCGAAACTAGGGTTAGTTTTTACATAAAGGGGTGAAATTGTAAGTAGTCCTATCTCGTTAAGTGAAGAAATCCCGTAATATATACGAAGAAAAGTTGGGTTTAGAGGAATCTCTTGTTTCATAATTGTTGGGATTACTTCCATTTCGA